GCTGATGCCCCTGTATTTTGTTTCATTTCTTCTCTAAATTCAGGTTAAAAGTTGCAATAATCTGATGCAGAAAATTCAGCTTCTCAAGTTTGGGGATGAGCAGAGCAAAGCGAAATAAATATTAACTTATTAAAGGAACGAGTTGGATGACAGAATCAGTCACTCCACATGGGAGGATGGGAGAGCTGTGTGATGTTGGCCACCACAGCTGGGCCACAGGGTCTCCTCAAGCAACATCCCTACTGGGGCTCTCCTGCCTCCTACAGTTTCCCCACTCTGGCAGATCCACAGATAGAAAGTTCTTCAGTGGGAAAGGTTGAGCTCGCCATAGCAGCCGACTCCACATGGCATCATTCACATACTGGAGAAACCACATCTGACAACGTGGGAAAAAGTTTTTGCCTGGGCTCCTGTTAGGGATAGGTTCTGTGTGAGCAGAGGTGGGAGCATCCCCACAGTGAGAGCTTCCTAGCTGGACGGTCAACCTAGGGCTTCAGAAGGCATCCCACTCTCTTGTCTCTCTGCCCTGAAGTCTCCTACCCCCAGCCTTTGGCACTGACCTTGACCCCACCCCATGTTCTCCTGGCCTTTCAGGGACCAGAGTTTATTTGTAATCTCTTGGGACCCTCTCCTTGCCCTCTGGAATCCTGGTCTTGGGGGTTTCTTAGAAGGGTGTAAGTTCAAGGTCTAGACAATTTGGCAGAGACAGATCAGGCCCCATGACTAGAGTCTCACTAGCCCACTCTCCCCAATGTCCCTGTCCCTAACCCATGCCCAGGTCCCATGGTCACCACTGCATATCAAATGGGCACAGCACTAGCTGCCCAGTTCAGGGCAGCCCTTCCTAACTGTCCTCTATTTGACCTTCGATTACTGAGCTGATTATAGCCCTATGGGAGGGGCTGGGACTTTCCTGTCCCCACCCACCCCCAGCTACTTGACCAACTCCAAGTCACAGGCTGGGTGGGAGGGTCCCTTCAGGTCAGCAATTCCCTCTTACATGTGGGGAACTGAAGACAAGAGGAGTTTGCCTGGTGATCCACCAGGACTCAGCTTCTCGGCACACAACTTATCTCACCAGCACCTGGCCCAGAGCCTTGACTCAAAAGTGTGTGCGCCATGTTTGACCTGATGATGAACAGGGGTGACACTTGCACCATCTTTGTGTGTGGAGCTGCGCTGGACCCGTGACAACCACACAGGGAAGGGGACCTGCCCTCATTTAACGGCTCGAGGAAGCGAAGTTGGAGCTCAGGCCACCCCTTCCAGGCTCCAAAGGGCCTGATGTCACCCATTATGGGGGTGGGGGGGAGGAGGGAGGAACGGTTGGGAGCGTTGAGGAACTCGGGTCCTCAGCCTCCTGGATCCCCAAGAGCCTTTGGGTATCCACTGGAAATTTCAGGGTCCTCACATGTCCCGGCTCAGTTCATCCCCAGCATTGAGACTCCTCTTCCCATATACATGGCTCCCTGCAGGGTCCTTGACACCCCCAGGATTCCAAGCCTGCTCTCTGAGCGGGAAACTCTGAACACCCTCCACATGGTCCCTACAATAACTGTGACACAGACTCATTTCTGTCCCCATTTGACAAGAGCAAACAGGCACAGGGATGGGTGTCTTGCCCTGAAGTACCCCCCTATCCTGTCCCTGATAGGGGTTTCCCACAGCCCAGTGATCATGGGCCATGTGGGCCTGCATGGCAGCCCCCGCGGGAGGACCCCTGCAGGCACAGGGAGGGCTGCCCTCCCCACAAACACACAGCCCCACTGGACCAGCGGAAGGCCAGTTTGATCCTCCCTGATAAGCCAACGCTCACTTTTATCTGTCACCTGCCACATGGCTGAGCTGGCTGAGCTCCTCAGGATTCAGGGTCAGATAAGGGGAAACGGGGGAGGGGGTATGGGGCTTCCTCCCTGCTCCCCCCCAGTGAGGTCTCACCCCCAGTCTCCACCCATCCATCTTTCCTTGGTCCACCTCCACCCAAGGGCTTCTTGTCTCTCGGTGTCCCCCAGCACGATCTGCATGTGGATAGTCTAAATGTGCTTGTGTAAGGTTAGCAATGCAGAGAGGGCACGAGGGAGGAAGGAGGGACAGGTTCAGTCCATCCGTCTTTCACGTTCCAGGATGGGCATGTATTACAGCTACAATAAAATAATTAAAGATGAAAATGAGGAGGGTGAGCGCCTCTCCCACCACGGTTTCCACAGCAGTGAGGGCACAGGGTGAGTGGGGGCAGAGGCCCTTCCCACTCAGATCCGCAGAGTCTACACCGCGGGGAGCAGAGCTGCTGGCTTATGGGAATCTGTGCCCAAGAGACAGCCTGAACTGCAAGGCAGCCTGACGCAGAACACCCCCCAGCGTGTTGACATCTGCAGTGCTGGGAAAACATGTCCAATGACTGGGGACATCCAAGAGGGCCATGTCCTTGGACTTTGGGCCTGGGGGCACCGTCCCCAGTATTGCAGGTGGACAGCTGTCCCCTCTCCTGCCAAGGATGAAGCCTCCAATTGTGAAAGGGGCTCCCAGAATCAAAAACGATAAACATGAACATTAAAAACTTAATGAGGAGCCACGCTCACCAGAAAGGCAGATTAAAGGGAGTGACATGGTGCCATCCCCGTTGCTGGGAGGGGACACATTTGACATCTAGGAAATGGAGGGTGCCTCAGCCCCTGGCACATGATGCAGTCATTCGGGGTGTGTGCACAGGAATGGCCTGGCCGCCTGGTCCTAAGACCCCAACTGGAAACACCCGAAGTGCCTGTAGCAGCCTGGACATCAGGCTCCACTTGGGAGCTGGCATGGCAGTGAGAAATAGTGATCTCACTACATTCAGCACCAGGAGAAAACCAACATGGTGGTCAGTGAAATGCTCAAAGCGTTACAACTGATCAGTCACAAAAATGTGAAAATGAGGCAGACAACACCACTTCCACGTGCACGTGCACAGTGTGGCCTGAGAGAGAAG